TCTATCTTCCAAAGCGTAGCTCTCCTTTTCTCTTCGTCTGCAAACCCAGCAGCAAGCTTTACTCGTTCTCGCTCCACTGCTATTAGTGATGATCTAAACAACAGAATAATTGTGAGTATGGTGTGGATAAGTGTGGGAGAGCCATGCTTCGGCACGAATGGGCCTGGTGAGTGAGTGATACCACGGCCTCACAGAAGACCGCCGTGAAACACACAACACTTGCGTTGTGTTTTGTCATGTGAGTGAGGTTATCGGAGGCCCAATTATCCCCTCCACAATCTCCCCAATCTCAGAATCCCCAACAATCCTCAAATTCCCAATGCCCTAAAGGCCGATAAAGCACTTGTAATGCCTCTGGTGCTTCACATGTCCATGGGCGGCGCCGATTGCTTATCATCAGGCGATATGTCAAAAAAGAAAAATAATATAAGAATAGCGTAGGTAACAAGTGAAACAAGTGAATTTATTTCTGCAAATAATTAGTTTCTGTTCGCAAATTTCGAAACCTTCAATTCAACATGGGAATTGAAAACATGGCCGCTATTAGCAATAGCACTCAACGAAAAAGACAGCAAAAACGCGCACATCTGGCGTGCGAAAAACAATACCTTTCCTAGGATTAGTTTGTATGAAGCAATCAGGTAACTATGCTATTATAGCTCGATAACTTTCTCTGTTAATGAGTGAATAAAATAGAAGAGGTGTTTATAAACGTAATAAAACAAACATCAACACAATAAACTTAATATCCAAAATAATACATAGATTCAAAGTTACAAACCTGAATGTGGACAAAAGATCAACAAGCGGATGATCCGGTCCACTCATCGGTCCCGCTTCCACTAACTCCTCTTCTCTTTGGCTCATAGCTCTCACTTCTTCCATCTCCGTCCCTCCACAGAGCTTTATAGCATCTTCTAATGGCATACATTTTATTTTGGGTTTAGTTACTACAAACACTTCCTCACGTTGCTCTGTCTTTGGTACTTCTTCAAAGCAGGGAGCTGATGGTGCTACATCTTCTAATTGTCCTAAAGAAGAATCCGGTATCTGCTGCTCGGTACTTAAATAAGCATCGGGATGAATAAGCTCAAACTGTCTTTCTGGGCTTATTGCTTCCGTAACTTCACTTGGTATAGCCATGTGTTCCAGTTTCCGCTGCAATTCTTTATAAGCACTTTCAACTATAGACTCTTTGGTTAATACATTTGACTCTTCAACTTGTACAGCTGATGTATCTGTGATATGTATACTCTTTTCAATATTCTGAGATTGTATTAAACATGCCTGATCTAAATTAGTTTCTATATTAATTTTTTCACTATAAACTTCTTCCACATTTTCTCTACTTTCTTCTATTATTTCTATACTTATATTATTGGTTTCGGTTTGTTCTGTATAAGAAACTTCGGTGAAAGATTCAATGGTAACATTTTGGGATGACTCAGCTTCACAGGAACTTTCAGTAGTGTAGACTAACTCCTCAAATGTTGGAGGAGCTATGTTAACTGGTGATAGTTCTCTAGTGGCGCTCCCTCTGTCTTTTGGTTTCTTTTTCTGAAAACAGTTAATTGTTTTATAATGGTAGTATTAAAATACTTCATTTGATATTTAGAAATAAACATAAATGATTTACTGCAAAACCACAAGGCCTGTAATTTTCAATAACATGTTAATGTATAAGGTTTAAAGAATTTCATACTAACAAGAGCATAACCTCATGCCTCGAGTAAATTCTTCTGGGATACTAATTATTTTATTCATTATGAATTCGTAATAAATGAAAATATGATAGGAAGCGAAAATATTTTCATTTTAATACATCAAGGACGGTCTCGATTAGACGACCTTTCTACTGTTTCCGTTATAATATATTTACACGACAACGTAATGAGTTATAGTAATAAAAACCATTCAAGATGCATGTTTCAAATGCAACATGCATGCTTAGTAAACAAAATGTTTAGCTGCGCAAATAGGTAAAACAAAGGATTATATTTTTACTTATTTTACACTTACTTCTTTACGCTTCTCCTTCACCATTGTAGCCATGATGATCGATTTTTATCCAAATGAGTATTTTAAAAACAAACAACAATAATTACACTTTATAGCAAACGATTTTATTTACGTACGTTCATGTTATTCCCCAAAATCAAAACAAAGTGTTGAAAATTCAAGTATTGACTGACAGCAGGACAGAATATCACTAATCATTAAAGTTAGAAAAAGATAAAAGAATGTTTATGTTCAAAAATAAATTATTTCTGGCTACGAAACGCAACAGTCAGCTGTGAACATGCCAAATAGTAGTTTAATAATGACATTTTCTTGTTTTTAGTCGAATTTTAGAAGCAAATCACTACTAGTAAAAAACTAGTTTTGTCTTTGGAAAACTTATAACATTAAATATTATCATATTGTGCCAATAATATGTTAAATTGTTGCAATAGTTCGTTTTGTAAATAAATGAATAGACTATGCTTGATTGCTTGCGAAATCTTTTTTGAGCAAATCGCAAAAAATTATAATCTCAATAAGATTGTTCTTCATATTAGGAGTATTTTTAATTCTAATTGCCTCGTACAATATCGGAAGTTATTGCTACCGTAATACTAAGGATTCTGGAAATTGTATGGTTCTCTAGCCGGCTATTACACCTTTGAGTAGCCAACTAGATCCAATGTTAAGAACAGCGAAATGATTTAATTCTCTAAATATCAGACTGCAATTTCATTAACAGTCATTGACAGTCCACTGCTGGACTATGAGGTCCCTCTTTTACAAGAACGGGGTTTGCCCGAGGTCTCCACAGTTGGGACGTGGATTTGAGATCACAGTGTAAAAGGTTCAGATTTTAAGAACTTCGATCCCTAATTGTTTTTAACCGACTTCAAAAAAGGAGATGTTCAGTTAGACCTGTATATGTGTAGGTATGTAAGAGGGGGTGAAGTCAGTTTTTTTTATTGGCCACTATGTAGCCGGGTGGTAAGCGATGATGAGGCCTACGATGGAACACGTCTGTCCATAAGCAACCTATTCACCCAGGCTATACCCTTCAGAAACACAGATTTTTTGAAAATTATAAGAACTAGCTTCTGCCCGCGACATCGTACGCCCGTTTTCTCCCGTTCCCGTAGGATTTTCAGGATTTTTTCTGTCTTAAGAACCTTCTCTTATTAATAACAAATACAACAAAAAAAAGACTTTGTGAAATTGGTCCAGCCATTCACGCATGATAGAAAAAGGGATTCATTTCTATATATTACTTATTTCAACTTTTTTTGAGTGGAGAAAAAAAAATTCATTGAGATGAGAGGAGGTAATTTCGACTAATATGTATTTTACAAAGTTGATTTGAAATATCGCTGCTCTAAACAGCTGACAAACGCATGATGGAATTTTCTAACTTTTACGATAAATATTATTATTTATGTAACATTTGCGCTCTTTGACCCTAACACGTTACCAGTGCATCATGCTTTGAATCACGCCGATACTCAAACTTATCTCATATACTCGTTTATCAGTATTTTCCTGCTATGTAATTCACACTTCAGAAAATAAACAAAACTATTAGAAACAGCCCTTGACTACTCGTGATAAAGTATCTTCTAAACTATGACCCATTTACGTATTACATGCATGAAATAGGGCCATGGGTATTGATAAATCTTGTAATACTTTGTCATTGATTTCACAATACTAAATTATTTTTCTACTGAGACCACGACATGAATACTAGGAATACCTAAATAGGCATATAAAAATTATTATGATATGAGTAGGTACGTACTATACACGTACTATATTACGTGTTGTACTACTGACGGTTAGGTACCTATCTTCAATGTCCACGTACGTAATCTTAAGTTCCGTCCAAAGTGCGGTACATTGAGGAAAGAGTTCAAGGTGTATAGGATCTGGACTTGGACCCTATACACATAATACTGTATTGTGACATCATTTATCACGGTCATTAGCATTTCACTCTTTGCCACGTTTGTTTAAAAAAACGTGTTTTTCTTTAGTTACAACGTACCTAATAACAATATTTTGATAGTAACTAATCCTTATTACCAAACTATAATTTGACTCGTCGAGTACCGGTTTTGTAGACACAATTATAGAACAATAGGTTGCGGTCACCGGTGACCGCTTGGTGTTTGACAGTTTAGTGTTAAGAGTATGCCGTGTATACCTATGTAGCTTGCGACATTATTAGAGATTCTTTAGAACAAACTCGGTGTTAACACTGAAAATTCAACTGAATTTTAAATAAAAAAATATTATAAGGAGTTCCTTATAATACTTTTTAATTTATGGTCCTCATCTACTATCTTTATTCTGCTACAAATCAATTATTTGCAATAGAATTGTCTTATACCCTCGTTTATTAATATAAGATATAGGATAAGATTTAATAATATAAGATAAGATCGCCTTTAAATCACAAAGCGATATTTGTGACTCATGTCTGTACTTACTGACAATATTGAACTTACAGGTTGCTTAGAGGAAAACCAGTAGTTAGGTACTTAAAACAATACCTATGCCTGTTTTATTTTTTTTTTGTAATACAGGGGTTTTTTTAAGGGGGGAAAATCATCGAATGGCTGCTCCCGCCTGGATGAGGTGGGAGGGAGTGTCAGACTCTTACCGACTAAAAACCACCCCGTTCCTTCTACTGCACGTCAAGCCGGAGCCGCGTTAACCCGTTAGGTTCTCCGCGACATTATAATACATGGCATAAAAGCACACGGCTGACCTGGTGGTACATAACTTAATTAAGTAATTCATGTAAAGCAGCCGCCTATTACATGGGACTCATAAGTCATAAGTTATGACTATATGTTAGATATAGTGGGTGTTACATTGTACAGTGGTATAATGTGCACCTCTGCCTACCCCTTCGAGGATAAAAGGAAATTATGTTATGATGATGATGTAAAACAGGCAAATGTAAAGTCAACTAAAAGTGGTCAAGTAATTTGGTGTACAAAAACTCTCAGTTTAATTTCAAAATTTATTACAAACAAAACTCCTTTTTAAGTAAAATATATGTAACAGTCGCTAGTCGTGCACTTTAAAGACAATATCACATAAATAATATCAACGAATCTCAAAATTAATGCAATGTAAGTATTAACTATGTTAAATAACGCACTTTACCTTCCTAGCAGCTATGAAGGCTATACAAATTTTACACTTTGTGTATTACTTCTAAAGTTGTGTAAATAAATAAATAAAGCAATTTTTAACCAATTAAATAACTAAAAAACAATCTCTGTCAAATATTGCGTCTTCCGCGCCCCGCGTGCCATATATATACTCCAGAGCACTGGGAAAGGTAAGGTTCAGCTGCAATGAGCTACAATCAAGTATCCTCAACAAACATTGAGCTACTTCTAAGATGGCGATTGCTCTTGATACGTAATATTTTCATCTTCGTACTGTATGTTAGTAGGATTTTGTTGCGTAACTATAAATATAGGAGATTTCAGCTTCCGAGGAACAGGGGACGGTGACGTTGAGTAACTTCTTTGCTGTGACGTAGAGCTCTGCATTTTTGCGCGAAACATGACATTATCGATTTCATGCATCGCTAAATCACGTTGGTGTTCGTCTAGTTTTCTCAATTTCTTCGCTAATAGCTGACCGTATAACTCATATTCGTCCATTTCATGCTTCACGCCACCTGATGATGCATTCTTCAAGTATGTTACAGCTTCATCCATTCGTTTCTTTGCATAATTTATTTCTGAGCAATTTTTGTTGTTGGGTGTTTTTGGAGATACTGGTTTACTTTGCCGAACCATAGCTGTGTGTTTATCAGCTATATTAATATTTCTATTAATGTTGTTTGTGTGATCTGGAATTCCTGGTTGTGTTGAGTAGTTTCCTGTATTTGTATAATACTGAAACAAATAAAAATAATGCCTGTAAAAATTTGAGAAATTGGTAGAGTACTTACCCTACACATATTGTTTAAATCGCCTATGTTATTAAATAAGAAATACTTCGTAAGTACAAGTTCTCATTGCAAGGACTAAGATAATTGATTTAACTGAACGTGAGGCTCAATTCAAAACTCGTAAGTTATGATTAAGAATTTTGTCATACTTTAGACTTCATACTCAACAGTCGTGCTTATAACCATTCGACAAACAAACCTCAGCGCCAGAAGTTTGAAATAAAATAATATTAATAACTGCGTAAGTATGCTCCTACTTTTATTTATTTAACGTACAGTGTAGACGTATATGCAATATCAAATAAGAAAGCAGCCAGACATAATTGAAATACGTATTCTAAATCAAACTAATGAATTTGTAAAAACCAATCCAATATGGAATTGGCATATAGGTATGTGTCGTACCAAAGTTTGGTTGCCAAATATACAAACTGAATGGCAGTAAATGGTTATAGGCATTACGCAATTGGTTCCAATTTGGCCCAATACTTTACCAAAGACACGAAACTTGTCGTTAAAGATGAACCAGTATTATTATTCAAATATCGTTAAAAATATTAAAAATAATAAGTGACATTGTGACTATTAATATTTACCTCATTTTCCAATTGATTTGTGCTATCACATTCGTATTTGCCGCCAAGAAAACTCTCCATTAGTGAATAGGCGAACCAAGTTGTGCGATACCCCGGTTGAACTTTCTTTTTGCTGAGGTGCATTCTAAAGGACGTCATTAATGATTCCTTTTTCTTCTTTAGATCAGTAATTGAGCAATGTATACTTAAAGATGCCTGTATCCTAAGCCAGGACTCGGAAACTTCACTTCTATTTCTGTGCAACGGATGTTTTGGATCCCACAAATGTTGCTCTCTTCTATAGAGTTCTAAGAATTCCAAAACAGTATCGCTATTCCACGACATTTTTCTATTTTGCTGAAAACTCTTCTAATTATTATTATCCAAAACAAAAACCACTGAGACCGCTTGCCTGGCAGCCAATCAGAATACGTTTCTCGTCCAATGTTTGTGTCTGATTACACGTGTGCTGGCCTCGTTCCACAAATTTTGCGATCAATGTTCGTCATTGGCATTTGGCGACCAACCAATAATGTTTGATGAAGTTGTGATGTAATTTTGTAGACTTTCTCAGTGGAAAAATAAAAGGACTTAAAGAAATGTTTGTTTTATTATCAATATTCAAATATTTTATAAGTTAACTAGAATTTAAAAAAATATTCTATACAATGCATTCATCCCTTTACACTGTTCAGTTAGTTCGTCTCTTTCTTTCTCTTTAGCGTCGTCTCTTTCTTTAATTTTTTCTCCCATTGCTTTTTTTAGTAAACCGAATTACAAAAAAAAATAGTACATAGTTTAAGTTTTAGTTGATATTATTTTCTCTGTATAAAACTGAAAAATACTTTTCTTGTTACATGAACAATTGGTTTTAATTAGAAATAGGTTCCATAATCGACTAAACATATAAAGCTGACTTTATTTTTAAAGTTACAATGTCAATGCATACACATCACTAGTTGTGTCTGATCAAAGTCCAAACAAAGTGTTGAATCATAAAATTAAAAAAGTTTATTTAATTATTCATTCGTCATACGTACGAGCTGCTTATCACGTATATATTTTCTATTATAAGACCAGTTTACTTCAGTCAGTCGATTGAATTGTATTGAACAAGTAATAAATAATCGGGAAAATATTCATTTTGTTCGGACTTTTAGAAAGTATTTGAAAAGTTTCGTGTATTTATAAGGTAGGTTTTAAAACTTATTATTTAAATTATTACAGTACAGTACTTAATTAAATAACCGTCTGCTATTGCAGTTTTCTAATCTGCAAATATCAGTATTTTTTTTACAGTCTGTTGCAATTCGTTAATTATTTACTGGTGAAATCTACTTAGATTTATCTTGGTTTGCAAATTTTCATAAGTATTGAAGGTAGACAATATGCTGTAGCATTGGATTTGGAAGTGCATTATATTTAATTGTATATTCTAAGTAGAATTTGACAACTAAAACTATTAATTTCACTTTTGCACAAAATGTTTAAGTAATAAAATTAATATTTTTTTAGAAATAAAATTTTGTATCAATCAATTATTGTTTGCTGCAGATGGCTACAGAAGTAAGTGCTCCATCGATGCCGCAGCTGCAGTCAGTGCAGAAGGCCATGGCTTTGCCCACAGTTGAGGCTGCCGTTGGACAAGTCGGAGCTTTCTACACAAGAGTCAAAGGTGACTATATTTTCTTCTATAATTTTCTATTCTGTTATAAAAAATTGCGAGTTATCTTTCTAGTTAATATTTATCTTAACTAATGTCTAATATGAGATTTATTAGTTTTTCAATAAACATTTCCTAGAAGAGGGTAGTCACACGCAAACTGACTGGCTAAATAATGTTGCTGACTTTATTATATACTTTGTACAATTACATAAGGATAGTGTATTGTCTTGCATAATGTGCATTTTTATTTTGTTATGTTGACACTTAATCACACGGAAAAAAATTCAAGGGTTGTGATATTGTATCCATAATGTTATGCTATTAACCAGTGGTATGCCAGAACGTAGATCTACGCCCGACACAATCTATATTCTATTGTGTCTCATATACCTATCGGCACTCAAGAGGTTAAAGTCTATTTTTTTAAAAAACTAAGACATTATTGTGTTCTACTAAAAGTTACTATGCAAAATGTGGAAACCCATCTCATTTGTAGACAATGTCTGTTCTACAATATCATAATATTTACTCAAATGCATCTCGGACTCAGTTGAACTTTGTGAATATCAGAATCCTTCATAATAATAGGATATCATCTTGAGATGTAGTAAAACCTTTACTATTTGGAGAGTCGATCTATGCCTTTTTTTCTAAAATTATAATAACTAGACACTAAAAATTCTCTTCCATTGGTCTAGGAGCCCACTCCTTGCTAGAATGGGCGCTATCCACTGCTGAGGCGGGCATGTACCGTGCAGCCAACACAGCGGCGCCCTACGTGGCGGTGCCCCTTGCTGCTGGAGACGCCAAGGTGGCCGCCGTCATCGACGAGCTGGAGCGCCGCGTCCCGCTCGTCACAGAACAGCCCAAGGTCATTGTGGAGACCACTAAACAAGCAGTCCTATCCAGAATCTCACCACATGTTAATAAGGTAAGTTTTTAATTCTTTGTCCACAATCTACCTTCAGATTTTATGAAAAATATTGTTGAAATGATTGATTTAACCTTAGTCAATTTTTAAGAGATTGTTTAAATTGCGTAAATTCGTTTTATTATTAAACTGCTACTGAGCACAATAATTTAAAATGTTAAACATCCTAAAATTACTAAACGAAATTCGATGCAATATTCCTACAGATATACTTCACTTGTCAGAATCTTTTCGTCCCAATATTGCAGCTTACATTACAGTGAACTACCTGGTTAATAAAAAAATCGAAAAATGAATTGTAAAATCAATTTCCGTTATCGGCATTCAAAGTCGAATTAATAATAAGAATGTGCCGGACGTGGATGCATAGTTATCTTAGTTCAGGAAGTGTCTCTAAGCCCCCAATGAGCGACACGGTCCAAAGTACAACTTAAGAGCAGGATGTTGCACTATCCATATAATTATTATCTGTCATACAATGCAATGTTATACTATTATTACACATGATTATTATATCAGATCATCACATCAGCAGTTTGTTTATAAAACACGGTCTCGCGTCAAAATATGCGCAGCCGTTTCCGTTGATAGGAAGTTTCGACCGGTTTTGTAGTACCGGAGGCTATTACCTACTCCGTATGTGTTCAGTGTTCTTGCAACCTTTTTTGTTGCAATTATGGTTCTTTGATATTCACAATATGTAGTAGAGGGAAATAAGGAGGGAAAAAGTAACTGTCAAGCCTGCAATAATTAATAACGCGACTTAACTATTATTAGTGCGTTTGCTTTTTATACTTTAAACCTAAACTGTTAAATCGTTATTGATGAGGTAGATCAGATGTTCAGAATAAACAAAAACCAATCAATTTTAATTAAATTCGAGAGTTTTATTTCGATGCACCTTCGAAACTATCAACTGCACTTAGTTTTTATTTTTACACTATTATTATATAGATTTGGCAACGTAAGTTTTGGGGGAAGGTCAAGCCGTCAACATCATGCTGTATATCTAATAACTGTCATAAATAAGTGGGTACCGTCGCTAGGAAGAGTTCGTAATATTTTCATGTATTATTTACTTTATGGATATCACTCATGAATTTTCCACCTTTCTACCGTTTCCAAGAAATCTAGTTTCTGTTGAGTAGGCCCGTTATATGTGGTCAGAGGACCTTTGTACATACAAATATCAAGTTTAACCTGTCGTGTGTCTAAAAGTGGATCCACGCGAGTCACAATGTATTTTCTATTGCGTCTTATATACAGGCATTCAAGCGGTTAAAATTAATTTTAAAAAGGTCAGGTACAGTCAGCCAAAATATTTTTTGGACAAGTAGGTAACACTTAAAAATATTTTAATTTTAAACTCGTCGAGTACCGGTTTTGTAGACACAATTATAGAACAATAGGTTGCGGTCACCGGTGACCGCTTGGTGTTTGACAGTTTAATGTGTATTTTGTGTATGGTCATCAAGAACAAAGTGTACCAAAAATCATAGTGATCTGTGGTCAAGAAGGGAGAGAAATTTCAAGAACTAAATTTGACCCAAACAAATAAACAGAAACAGAAATTATGATCTTGATAGAAATGGTCTCTTTCACATTTCTACAATATTCACGATACATACAGACTATGCAGTACAGTTGGCTTGGTACGTCGGTATTCATTATACTCATATAACCGGTACCTAAGTTAGCGGTGTCCACTAACCGCGTGATACAACTGCAGTACCTAGGTGCACTGCATTCCTGAAACTCACGTTAAAGTTGTTGTGACTTGCGGCCAAGCGCCATGTGATCATTACCTAAACTAACTACGTATTAAGTTCTCAGTATTCATATCAGATTAGAATTTATGATCGTTAATGTATAATCTAAGTAGGTACTATTTTGTAAAGCTATCGCCGAATACTTATCGATATCGTGGAAAATTCCTGATTAATATTACATGTGTATGCATTTTTTCAGACAATCGTAACTGCGTAAATTGTTAAAAATGCAAATTAATACGTAGGATACCTACCTAACTTTTGCTTGTACGAAATATCAGCATTATCAATATATCAAGGTTTCAAAACATGGAAGAAATAATTGGCATCAGTCTTTACCTAACTGATTAATAATTATGTACATAAACAAGCAACGATCACACGCTCAAAATAAAAATAAAATAAAATGCTGTCTGAACACTTTAATGCAGCTGTCTACCAGACACAAATAAAAAACAACTAGCCTTCTAGCCTATATAGTTGTTACATTTTTGTTGTATTTGCTCATAGCGACAAGCAAAGAACGGGTAACACTGCACCGATAAGATAATGTGAGTGGCGACTCATTATCACGCGGTGGACTGGACAATGAACCGGAACGTACCCACTTGTCACGATAAACATCTTTTTTTAATACAACTTCATGCTGTTTTCTCGAAAATGTATACATTCTGGATGTTTCTGAGACCATTCTGTGATCGTGTGGACACTTGAAATGTTCACACCTTATTACAGATATCTATAAATAGTATCTAGGTACATACCCGTGATTAGACATGGAATCAAGAAGTTAAATGGGTACTTTTCCTTAATCAAAAATAAATTATTTCGACTGTTTAATGCAATAAAATATTTTAAAAAATAATCACACTTACATTAGTTAGTTTTCTGACCAACTTTCAAGAATTTTTGAAGAAAGAAGTATGCTGTTTGTCGCTTAAAAAACTTGACGTGACGCAATATCGTACAAAATCCATAGAAAACTATAATTTTTGACAGTTCGAAAAAAGTATTGGTTTTGACTATTAGGCAAGTGCCCAATTGCACTAACCGAATTATTAAGCGTAGGCTTAATTAGGTTTTTTCGTACCTGCATACAATATGACTGTGCAGACTGTACCTACAAGTATTTACGTAATACGGTAGTTGACAGGTAGTCAAATTCAATACTTTCATTGAAATGTCAAAAACAATACTTTTGAATTTTGTATTGGATCACAACTTATGACGTCATTATATTTCTGCGTCAAATAGCATACTTATTTCCTTAAAATTAACGAGAAAAAAGTCAAAAGTAGGTAAATTGTCAAATCAATGGATGAGAGTATGATCATTTTTTAATTAGTTATTGCATTGAAATGTTGAAACAATTTATTTTAAGCCTAGGAAACTAGCCAATTATGCATCTAGTACTAGCTATTAATGTATTAGACAACGTTACTTATCTATAGGTTAACGTTAATGATGTTATAAATTACTGATTTACGGTTAATTTACGATAAAGATACATAGGTGTAGGTCAAACACAATGTAAATAGATAGTCAAGGTTACGAGACTAAAGTCCGTATTACGTTTAGGCTATATGATATAGGTACATAGATAATATATATTTAATTACCTGCGAAGGAACGAAAAGTTATACCTAGCGTGTATGCTAAGAAAAGTCATTTGATTATCTACTGCAATAAAATACTTATATCAAAGTTTTAGATAGTAGATATGTCAGTTTCACATTAATTAATATTGTGTTATTAAAATAAATATGAAAAGGTAAATTTTACTAAGGAGACTGCCATAGGGTACGGATTCACTTTCATTCTTCAGGTCTTAATAAATGGGTAGTATAACATACATAATATCATACCATCACACCTTTTATCCTCGAAGGTTTAGGTACACATTACGGCACTTAATGCCACTGTACAATAACACCCACATTTCACTATTTTTGTTATGAGTCCCATGTGATGTGAGTGAGTCTATTGCCATATACCGGGCACAATTCCAGACTCCGCGCTACTACTGATAATTTAAAAAAAAAAACCAGTGATACTTTTGCCGGCTTGAGTTTAAAACCCGAGACCCCTTGCCCGGCAGTCGCACTTGCAACCACTCGGCTAACGAGGCTGGTAGCCTATAAAATGTAATGCACATTTTTTAAATTCGAATAGTGCTCTAAGGATTGCCGCGACATTCTTTACATTTGTTTACATTAACATTTGGCATGCACTTTGAGGAGACATACATACCTACACACCTACTTAATATAACACAAAACTTTCTTCATAAAAATACTAAAAATAATAAATGCTGCAATGTCATCGACCGCAGAAAATATACACAAAGCCATACATAATGCAATGAGCTTCACTTTATGAGTGCTTTACAAAATGTGCACAATTGCTGGCTACAATGACTTAGTTCACTGTTACTAGGCTCATTGTGTCCGTATCCATTTTATGAAAATATGGGTCCAGTGATCGGCAACTACGAGTACAACCGCAGTCTTGCTTTCAATTTTCGGTTCGAGAAATGTAGGGGCTTGAAGCCTGGAGATAATGGATACCAGCACGTTTTACTTGAACTGTAGGTCTGGTCTGTCTCACCTCTTAGAAAACACGTTTGGATGTCTATGGTTTCATTCTAATTTCTTTTATGCTCATCAGGTGATCCGTCTGCAAATTTGCCCCCTACACCATAATATAATTTCATCTAATTAAAATTAACACATTGACTCCTTTCACAGGTATACACAGCCAAGACAGCAGCCGAGAACCGCGTCCACTCTCTGAAGGAGCTCTCATGGGCGAAGGCTAACGCGCTGCTGACCACAGCTTACGGCCAGAAGGTGGTGCACAGCGTGGACGCTGGTGCATCATACGCCATGCAGCTGCTCGACCACTACCTACCTGCTGTCGGAGCTCAGGAGGAATCTAGCAGTAAGTATCTTTGTTAGCAATAGGGTAGATGCCTAATTTTTATTTTAATGTCCGTCTGGTAGATTATTCTAAATCATTAGACACGTATTTTTTATTTTCTTACAGAAACGAATACTTTGGACGATATATTGATTTGAAATGTCGCGTGACGTCACTTCTATGTACATTTTATACGTAGAAATGACGTTTTAGCCCCCACTCCTAAACTTGTAACTTTTATCTAAGATTCGTTTTATCTAAGTATTGTTTTATTATACGACAATATAAAAAAACACGTGTATAATATTTTTTAATTACCTAACCTACGGACTTATTCGATTTTTAATTTTCATACCCTGGTCTAATTACTTACTTACTTACTTACTTGGAACCTGGTTACTAATACTGTAGAAATTGTTAACTGCTAGAAGGTAAACTAGTCTTCTCTGAACTTCTTTTGACCAAATTAAACTGTCAAGCTTTTCAGACTAATGAATAAAGATTGCTACTTAATGTTATAAACGAATTAAACTTTAAATAATTTGAATAAAAACAAATCAATTTAAGTACTACTATACATATTGATTAATTTACACACAATAGCAAAGTTATACAAAAAATATTAAGTAAATGTTTGCCAATTACAAAGAAATGGTAATTAACTTTAATTATTTTTACCATGTTATCATTTGAAACCTTTAACAGTTAACAAACCAAACAGTTGCAATAACAGCTAGCACTGTACCGATTCCGCTTTCACGCACGAGTCCACATTCTTTAAACACAAATTTTATATTTGTGTGACTATGGACTCGTCAAGTGACAATGGACAAATGTGAACTCGTCAAGGGCTGTCGATGTGTCATTTTGTTAGTAAAACACATGGTGACATGGCCAACAGATTGAGGGCTAAAATACTTAATTATTGATAATGAAATCCAAACGCTGATTGCACTATACTTACAGGATTATTGCACAATGTTCTAAAAGATTACCTTTTATCTTAATCTAATGATATGAAGCAGGACTTAGAAGCAGGCTTATTATGTAGACGTAATATTTAGACTAAATAACATTTAGAATAATTGTTACAAGGGCAAACACGTGATGAAGTTACTAAGGAAAATTGTTACTCTGCAAGCAATTAATTGTTTTTCACTATTTTGTCTTTTGCTGATTGGCACTGTACTAGTTTTACATATTACACAGCTCTTTCCATAATAGAATTACAAATAATTATGTATGTACCTACATTGTAGTTAATTTACCCTATGCATGACCCAGTTAGCTGTAGGTAGTACTAACAAATAAACTCACTTTTGATTTTCGAGTGGTTCTGAATGCCATTGTCAATTAGGTCTCGAGTTCGATTCCTGAGTCGGTTTTCCAGTAAATCTGCATCTATAATAGTAAAATATCTTGCCCCTTTACTACTAAGACCAGATTAAAAGCATGATTATATTAACTTAGTTTGTAAGTGCATGTCAACTTGTAGTTAGACGAGAAAAGTTGACAATTAGTTAAGGATGTAATGATTTGTTAATTGTAGATGAAATTGTAGCGGTGTCGAACGACCCGGCGCTGCATACAGTGCAGACTGTCGGTCGGCTGAGCGCCGTGGCAGCGCGTCGCGTGTGGGCCAACCTCGCATACAAAGTTAACGAGCTTAGGAACTCAGGTAAAGCACACAATCATCATACATTTTGTTTATGGCATAAGCCGGTAAACGAGCAGACGGATCACCTGATGGTAAGCAATCTGCGTCGCCCATGGACACCTGGAACACCAGAGGCGTTACAAGTGCGTTACCTTTTTGGGGATTGGGAATTGAAGATCGTTGGGGATTCAGGGATTGTGGAGATTGGGGAAGGGGAGGGTCATTGGGCCTCCGGTAACCTCACTCACACGACGAAACACAACGCAAACGTTGCTTCATTCGGTTTTCTGTGAGGCCGTGGTATCCCACTCGACCGACACAGAAAAGGCTCGACCGGAGTGATAACTCCGGTCGAGCCGGCCTATTCATGCCGAAGCATGGCTCTCCCACACTTAGCATGAACTATCCTCAATTCCTGCCAACCACGCACTTATAAATACTCTGGTGTTGCGGGGGTGCCCATGGGCCTATTTGTCGCCCTATCACATAAAAAACCTTATTTGCTAGAAGACATTCACTGTTGAACCAACGTCTCCCGGCTTTTAGACACTTATTTCTATTCAATTTAGAGGCTCATCCCCTATTAGACGGTAGTCATAACTGGCCAAGGCGTGACGTTATGTGCATGTAGGTATTTGTGATGCAATTATATACTTCAGAATGTTATATTTACCTAGTTTATTATTTAAAATGAGTTTGTAATAATAGATTGACGTTTACCTACCTATATGTTAAAGATAACATGTAAACTTTGAAGAGTAATTATATAGTAGTTTCTAGGGACATTGCATTAGTCATTAGGTACTTGTGAAGTGGACTTTGTAGATTCATATTTCACACATTTGTGTAGGTATACAAAGTCCAAGTTGATGTTGTGGAATGTTAGATGATGCAAAAAGACCAAGTCTTGTGCAAATACAACTTATTGTTCCGGATTTGGGTGTAATCTGTATGTGAAATTATATGTTTACTAGCTACTTGCGCGCGGTTTCACCCGCTCTGCTCGGCTCCTATTGGTCGTAGCGAGATGTTTTATAGCCTTTCTCGATAAATGGATTATCCAACACATTCAATTTGAATCAGTAGTTTCGGAGATTAGCGCGTTCAAACGAATAAACAAAAAAACAAACTCTTCAGCTTTATAATATTGGTATAGATAAACGCGCCTAAGGCACTGAGAAAATTCTAATGTGCAGCGATTTTCTTAAACAAAACAAAATAATTTTTGTTTCATATTTCGATATCGTAGATATTTTAGCGATACTGCATCGCAATCAATTATAATATCTTTATTACAACGCAACACTGTAGGTATTACCAAAACAATACCCGTCAATACTAGTAACATTTAATATGCAAATATACGCAAATTGATACTTTCAAGCATTCACCTCTATCGACCTTCAGCGACCATATTATATTACAAGTCAATCTTATCGTGTACGTCACTGATAATGATAACATAACGTAACGCCTTGTGTGGTAGACAGGCATGCGCCATATTATACAATGTAACACCCACATTTCAGTTATTTTACGAGTCCCATGTAATAGGGGGTGAGTCTAATGCCATATTATAAAAATTTTCGAAATTCCGAAATGAACTCACATTATTTTCCGCCTGATGGGAATCGAACCCGACACAGTCGACCGGAAAACCCGAATAATATTTTTTTGACCCGGGAATCGAACCCGACACAGTCGACCGGAAAACCTGAATAATATTTTTTTGACCCGGGAATCGAACCCACTCGGAACAATCTGATATTAAGGTTTTTGACATCATTACAGGTGTGGAACTGGATGTACGTCGGTACATCACCGCGTTGTTGGCAGCCCTGCATCTTGCTAAAGTGACCAGTGACCAGCAACAACAAGAGAAAGAGCAAGAGCAGCAGGAGAAGGAGAAGTTCCAGACCCCGGAGCCTTCGTCCCCTGCGTCGGCTACCTCCTCCCCTCCCAAGAACACGGAAGAATCCTCCCCCACCACCGCCAACAAAGTGAAATCAACACCTGAATCCAAGTCTACAGAAACTTCTAATTAAATCCTTATTCATTTTATTATAATAACAATTAATATTATGTTTAACGTATAAGCTGCAGGCGCAGTTATTTTTAGCGCGTTGCAGTTTCAGCGACGTGCGATAATGCATGTCCTCATACAGAATGAGGTCGCGGAACATTCACACTCGCTAATAATAACAATGTGTCTGTCCTTAAGTTAAGTCACAGCCACAATGCCGGTATACAGGCTGTACCTACATTGTTATGGCGCATTTAATGTATTTATAATTAATCAAAGACTGTCGATATGTCTTCAATATTCAATTATTTTATTGTAATGAAGCTATTTTATAAATTTTATAATCATGTAGCGAGTTTTTAATCGCATTTTAATAAAAGATTTATATACAAATAAAACGCAGTTTGATTTCTTAAATATTAATTTAATACGCAATATGTTTCAAAGAGAATGTTATTTTATATTTGATTCTTAGGCCTCTTGATAATTTGTAGATATGAAATGTGATATGAGATTAAAGTCTGACGTAAGACGTTGGGAGCTTACAAATGTACAAATGTATACAAATGATGTGGAGTTGCACAGTCTTTTCAACACCGTACTGGCGGCTGTCTGATACAGTTCGTCATGAGTACTTGTGAACATCTCTAACTAACTATTCAAGCAGTCTGCGAGTCCCATAGCAATGTAATAAAGTGGAGGGCTAGTTGCAAATGTACCATTCTCAGTAATAACACAAGAGATTTACATAACTTCGTCTACTCTATAATTTATTCATAACAATTATTATAAGCGAAATTTTACCAAAATATAAGTATGAATGCTTCCTTTGGCACATACCATTATTAATCATTTACCACAGTCACATAACGATACTGAAAAACTTAAAATTCATAATTCTTAATCAACATTATGTACCAACGTTACGTACACAGAAAGAAGCAGTTCTACCAACATTCAAATGATTACTAAACTAAATTAAGTACATAAAGCAGTTGCCATTGATACTGTAACAGGTAAACAACCTCTCAAGTGCAAAAATATTTGTAATTAAATGCCTACTTATAAAATAAAAGCTCTAATTGAATACAATACGCAAATGAAACCACAGAACAATATGTAATGAACCTGGTATATGACTACTGAGTACAACAGTTAGGTATTTCAATAAACAACAACTATATCACTATTTTGACAATACTCTGTAATATATTTTACATATTTATATTCACGATGTACACGCAAATCGCAACCCTAATGACATCAATATCAAAACGAGGTTTGTTACAATGTTCTAATATCAAAATCCATGACGTTTACAATGTTCTACGTGGTGGCTACGTATGTCGCTGGTGTGGGGGTGGGCCGGGGCGGCGCCTCCTTACCCGAGCCCGTGGTCGTCGAAGAAGCCCTGGGGCGTCTCCTCCTGCAACAAGGGGTATCACTGAGCCAGAGTCGCTCGTGGCCGTGTTAGACCGAGCCATCGCTTTTCGGTTATCTACACTTTCTTTCAAATTGTTGTTTATCAAACCTTTTTCATTAAATTAGGTCGCATTATTACCTTTTCCACAGAAAAGAGGCATTGAATTGAAAGTAAAAATGTTTATAACTTGTAAAATATATTTATTAGAAATATGTTATTTTATCACATAGACATAATATGTATCATGAAACGAAACATTATCATATTAGGGATTAATACACATTATTGCACATAACTCCTTGATTATGTTATTTAAGTCTGCGTCACAAAATCTTTCATCCTTTGATAAAATACCCGATTAACTTTATAAAAAAGAAATACTTATTTTTAACATAAAACCTTAAGGATTCTGTAATAAAAACTCAAATACCGAAGCTAACAGTTTATCCAAATAGTAACTTCAAATCTCAACTTGATTTAAACTAGAAAAACTTATTAAACTAATAAACACATTTATAGTGCTTTGTTTGGCTTATAATAAACAATGAAATTCGTTAGGTCATGTCAATAAACAAAAGTAAATAAACTCTGCAAAATAACTTACGCAAAGAATAAAATTTTAACTTATTTAAATAATAATTTGTTTTTCAACAATCGATAAAATTATAATAGTTTAACGGACCACGTAAATAATATGGACGAACATTAAAATAAAAAAAAACGAACACAAACATTAAGTCTAATGAACAATTAATTTTACAACTAGTTAAGAGAAACTCCGAAGTAGTCAACTTACTTCTATAAAATACATTCGATTAAGAATTTATAAAATAATATTTCGTCTTGGTCCACTTTGGCCTGCAGAAACAATTCCGTCAATACATTTATATAAAATACTTACCAATATATTTAAATGGTTAATGTAGTGATAATTTAAAACCAATCTTAAGTATCAGTCGCCAAATAACTACAGTAGAAAATCTACACGATCATTATTAAATGTTATTTCTATCTAAAAATGTACGACTGATAATGACAGTCTATAAAAATTCTAAAATGAATATGTTGTAGACATATAATAGTGATATTAAAAATAGGATTATGGCAAATGGTGTTTTTTTAGGAATAGGCGAGGCGACAGATGTTGTTGTCTTAGAACTTCGTTTTGTTAGCACGGTGGTAATTTGCAGTGGGTGCGCGTCGTCGCCGGCTCGCCGTGTCTAGAGGAGCCCCACCTCCCGTAGCGCCGCGTCCACTGTCTCGTCCTAACACAATCCACGCCGTCAACATGCAGCTAAGCTAGATGCTTCAGTACTTACGTACTTCATGTTCACATCTTACCATGCATACATTTGTATACTTTGTCAGTACCTACGTTTCTATCTTTCTTTGTTTAATTAGAATTATAACAACTATGAGGTAATTGAACTTTTTAAAATTAAAATTGTTAAAAATTATCCAGGGTAGGACTCTAATTTCTGAATATTATCAGAATTTTATAATTTCATTTTGATACGGGACATTTTTATTTTTACACAGATTGTAATATCAACGCAATTATCTTTTTAGATTGTTATAAATGTTAATACGTTATCAAAATTATAAGAAAATTAGCATGCTGTTAACTGTTACATAATTACTGGTCCACGCCAAGGGGAAGCGTTAGAGGAGTACCACGAACATACATAGCACCTTTACGACACCACACCGGACACATGGGACTGCCGCACCACGAGTTACTCAAACTGTACAACACATTCTGATACCTAACTTCTGACTTTAATTAGATGAGGCATTTAAATTTTAGTGTTCTATTAGGAAAATCAGAGGCTCAGATCTGACAACAATGTTACGGTTAACTCGTGCTACGGCAACTCGGGACGGGACTCGGTACATGCAAGAAAACAGATTAATTTGTTTATATAATGTATTTCAACAACCCATTACAGTAAATGCATGAACAGCCAGACCATAACCATAAACCAAAAACGACACTGTTTTACAATGTATGTACGTATATTACACAAAGAGATTTTTGAAAAATGTTATATTTACGACTCGTAAGGATGAATGACCTCGAAATGAAGAGATTGAGCAATAGATTCTTATGCTATTCTCTTGTTGGTAAACATTTCATTTAATGGACGTACCGTGGTCAGTGTACAGAAAAGCATGGTAAAGCAGTGTCCCGATACAATGTAATAATAAAGTTTAACTACACATATATGTATGAAGCAACGATATACAGATAAACTATTTATAACTAACTATAATGGCGCCTCCTGTCCCTACTCACAAGTACATAATATCGCATGACAGATCTAGAATCGAGGTAATTTAATGTTTCTCTGAGATTTATATTCTGTATGTGTGTGTGACTGTAAATGGAGTTACGTTAGTTCTATATAGCCGTGCAAGAGTGGCAAAATATAAGGAATAAAAGTAATCGCTAGCTACATACGTAAATAATATAATAATTAACTACATAATACTTAGATAAATATAAAATAAGAAAAAGCACATGCAGTAACAACTCTAAATATATCTAATAAAATAGTAAACTAGTTAATTATCCAAGGTTGTGCGACACATCAGTGTAACAATCCATCGTTCAGGTCCTGACCGCCACCAATGCATGCATTTCACACCAAAACAAAGGAGAAAATTAGCAGAGTGCAGTGGAAGGAGAAGTAAGAAGCAGAGAGTGAGATCACAGCCGGCGGCGGCATGAAGAGTACACAGTAGAGTATTAGTAAGAAATACCTAGTATTGAGCAAGTAATTACTAAAAATCTATCTTCTATCTCTGTTCTACAAAGTCTGACGCAACATAGTATAATAATGTCTTTGTTTTTAGTAATTGAGCAAAATAACTCTCCAGACGCCGACTGCATCACTCATTCACTAGTCATTTAGCTTTGAGTTTTGCAGACATCAATAACATTTATATTTTTTGTATGTGTTAAAGTGCTGAGTATTCTGTTATAATATCAACATTTACAGTGACTAATATACATACATTTTTAAACAACTTTTTAAATATATTTTTGTTTAGGCACTAATATCATCTATCTATTCATAATATTCGTTTTAATCTTAAATATTTAAAATTTCGCTGTCTATCAAACGACACATGTAAATGTGTGTGTTATAATATTTGGTGATATGTCGTATTCATTCTGAAAGCATACTTGTTTCACGATATTTCATAGATGTTTTGTTTCATTTAGATGTTTTTGTTCAAATGTTTTAGAAAGAAATATGTTTCCAGACAAATATGCTACACAAATAGTGTTATTACACCATAGCTTTAGAAATTGATATGTGTTAAACATTAGTGCTTCTTCGAAGTTAATCTAAAAGGCAGTGCTCCTACACGCGTACATTAGTGTTACATCTAATACATAATCAAAAGGCACTACTGAGGCCACTGTCCTATTAACTGGTCCACTTTATATACCTATATTTATTTATATATTCAATATTTACGTCTATATATATCATCTAGATGCATTGTGACTAGTATGATTCGAGTTTATGGCAGTTTCATTTAATTTTTAATAAAATTATTTTCTATATCTTCAAGTTAAATATAAATCTGATAGTAGTCTGTTAATTGCTATTAATTTTTACTAGTAACAATATTAAAGAACAGAGTAAAACACCGATAACTAATATTTTAGGAACTACATAATTAATTTTACTTATAGTATAGATAATGTTAGAAATTATTGAGGAATCAGAATATAGGATCAGCTTGATTAGTTAAACACAACACATTTTTTAAACCTAAATAATATGAAATTACTTAACAAATACCTAAGATAAAATAGGACAAGTTTAAAAATGGTTCCTTGATATTGCACCATTATATTATAATCCTGAGTACGGTCCTGCCTATATTGCATTAGTATCTCTCTCTGAATATTACATCACATGCAGATTTTTTGTTATTCACATATTGTGCCCCATAGCATAATAATTATTTTTAGTTTATTTTATTTGTTCCACATTTACCTTCTTAATAAAGAGCTTAATAAATTGATGATGCCGACTGTCTCGAAATTCTTAAAAGCACATTGAGTAAAGCAACAAAAAATCTGCCTATTGAATTAAACCTAAGACCTGCAATACCCATATTATTAATTAGACAAGCTCATTATCCTGACTACTGACCTCTTGGAGTAGATCCTGTGCAGCAATGGCCTTCAGGACATTCTTTTTGCTGGTCTCTTGCAGCTCACCACCAAGCACCAACTCGTCCAGAATAAAGTATGCCTTCTCAAAGTTGAAGATTATATCCAGCTCACATACCTGGAAAAAACAGTATTTTAATTACTAAACTAAACTTTAACATGGTAAGATTTATCAATTTTCAGCCAATAATGCAGCCTTCATATTCCAAAATGGTTCATTTCCATATTACAGATAGAAAACATATTACAGTTCCAGAAGTATGTAAATAAAAATTAATTTCCGTGTGTTAGTCACGCTAAAACGTGAGGATGGATGAACCGATTTGGCTAATTTTGGTCGTCAAATGTTCGTGGAAGTCCAGGGAAGGTTTAAAAGGTGAGAATAAAATTGTAGGTGGCGCGATGTTTGCCAGATCAGCTAGTCTACAAATCATTTTAAAAAACAGAAAGTAGGCAATAGTTTGATGAACTTTAAATCTGATTCATTGTTGGGCAGTCATGCTTGTGACCAATCACTCAACCAACAAAGCAGTCGTAATAACCATATAAGAATATACTCACACTGCCAAAGTATTTGTCCAGTAGTTCCACATAGCGATGTATGAGCTCCAAGGTCAACAGCTCATTGTCTTCCTGCTCCATCGCACAACAGAAGTATAGGGACGCATATCTATTGACAGAGATGATAATGTTAGTTGCATGTGACATTTTTTCATCATTTCAATAAAGTCTTAGAAGAATGTTAAATGAGTAAATGAAGACACAGAAACTGGTTGCCCAAAACTATACTACTAAGTACTAACTATACTATACAATACAAAAATTTAGTTTTCAATAAAATGTCATTGTAATAAAAATGTAATGTGAAATATCCAATAAGACAGAAGATAGAGTATCAGAGAGAGTCAGAGTGTATGTTTCATCTGATAACACATTAGTGAGTCACAATAGCACAAAATTGTTACTAGTATCTATTGTAACAAACATTTGTTTATAGAGGTCAAATACCTTTTGTAAACTATTTTGACGTCTTTCCACTCCAAGAACGAACACATCTTAGGCTTCCTGGCCAGCACAGTGGTTATAAGTTCACGTGTGATCTTCTTCTTCAGTTTGTCTGGGTGCGCCACGTACCATTTCTGCAGTCTTAGTTTGCCCTGCCGGCTGAACAATAACATAAACTGCATCTGAAATATAAAGATTTTTGACCTTAATATTACAGCAATTTCAGTGACTTTTAGACTACGAAACGGAAAAAATGAAAACAATACACGTATAAGCTAAACTAAAAACACATTGGATAAAATGAAATCGATTTAGAAACCAACAAAATTGTAATAAATAGCTGAGGAAAACGCAATTCGTTAGAGGTTACTCACCATCTTTAAATCTTAAATCTAAGTCCCACAATATATGTAAAAAGGAATGTTTGATACTTAAGGACATAAATTAAAACTTTACTACATATTTTTCCTTGAATACAGTTAAAATAAAGCCAAAATAATTGGTGGCTGACGTGACGACATGATCAATATCATTGATGATAGATGACGTCATACAAATGTTGACAGAACAGAACAGAGACAGAACATGCGACTGATGCACAGATTATGTATACGAGTAAAACTACTGGTTTGGATTAGTCGACTAAATAAACCGCATTTCAAGAAATAGCATACCATTGATGCATTTTTCAATACATATTTCGGTTATTTCTAGCAACGAGGGCACATCTTAGGTTAACACATCGCTAAGACACTGTATATTTCTTTTACGTTTTATTTAAAGGTAGAGGAAATCACAGTATCATAATGTAACAAGGGCTATCGAGTGTATCAACTATCGAACATGATATCGACCGCTTCCGAACCTAATTTATCTGTAACTGTAGTAAATAAAAGTGACATTGACAATAATGACAGGCTGGTAGGCAGCCAGACAGAGTTTTCTTCCGACTTTCGTCTGCGGCTCTGGCGGCTCATTGACACTTATTGACATGCTAAGTGGAAGTGGAAACCTTGGTTATTATTTTATTTGCGAGTGATTTTGGGTAGTGCAACATATGGTAAAAATAATATTGGTCGCATCAAACGCACTGTAATTTCTTGCAGGAAACATTTAAAAGGTCACTGATAGAAAAATACAAAATGGTAAGTGTTGGTTTATTTTTGTAAATTGTTTACTACGTTTTGGCAATTTTTAGATAACATACTGACCTAAAATAGCTAAATTTACTATTTAAATGGTTTTATTTGATTAAAGCATACTTAGATAATCATTACCCTCGGTTGTCTGTAGATCTAGAAATAATGTAACAGACCAGAAGAACTTTATCTGATCAATCTTTATTATTGTTACCTACTTGTTGGATAAAAATGTAGAATTAATTTTAACGATATATCTATTAACATATTCTAGGTACTATGTAAAATATTATCACTCTATGCCTGACTTGCGTTTTGTTAATATGTAGGTAGGTAATAATCTTTACTACTACTACCTAATTTAATTTTCTTTTAGGCTCAAGTATCGGCAACTGGTTCGTCGGTTGGTGGAACAGGAGGAGATAGTGAGGGAGAGGAGCAGGAAGACCCTTCATCGTCGTCACCTGATGAAGTTCTAGAAATTGATGATTCTCTTAAAAAATTAAATGTGCAAGATAAGCCACAGGTGCGTGAGCAAAATTCTTATTGGAGTATTATTTTATAATAACTTTATATCACACAGTTTAATTCTACTAACAAAAAATAATCAAAACATAATATAATTTTGTTGTAAACATATTGATAGGCAGTTTGTCAAGTGTGATCCAGGTTCCATAACTTTCTCTTATTTTGTATATTAAACTGTTAAACACCAAGCGGTCACCGGTGACCGCAACCTATTGTTCTATAATTGTGTCTATAATGACGGTACTCGACGAGTTAAACTGTCAAACACCAAGCGATCTAATGAAACACAAATGAATAAAGGTATTGTCATTATTAATCAATGAATATTGTGTGCTGCTTATCTTATAATACATAAAATAGCCATAGTCATTGTTATCTTTTAAATTAGGTGTAATTACGATCATATTTCTCTAGTTGTGTAATTAGTGAAAAATTCTTAGAAAAAAACCTTTTCAGATAAGTAACTGATTTATTTACATTTTCAAACTATAACAAAATCAATGGAATGAGTGGTCTATTTCCAACTGGTAACATTTCGGGAACTACCCTCGAGATCTACCGTTTTTTATTGATGTCTTTGTTGCTTATTAGATAAATTAAATAGTTTATTATTAAATTAAGTAAAAACGCGGGTTACTCACGTGAATATACTGAGAAAAGCTCTACTAGTTTCGAACCACAGAGGGGTTCTTCCTCATGAGCAGCGTGCGCGGTCGCGGCGACGTCGCGCAGCTCACTGACAGTATATTCACGTGAGTAACCCGCGTTTTTACTTAATTTAGTATGTCTCACGATAGTTATTATAAAAACATAGTTTATTATTGTTGAATTAAACTATCAAACACCAAGCGGTCACCGGTGAGCGCAACCTGTTGTTCTATAATTGTGTCTAATGACAGTACTCGACGAGTTAAATAAAATTCAACACACCATTTAATATAAATTATCCTATTTAGAAAAATATACCACACAGTTTAACATTGGAGTACCTAGCATGTTGGATCTCTATACTATTCTAAAAATTTTACCTAATGTGGGTGCATATATCAAAAACTGATCTAAGTCAAATACCTGTCGTTCTCAGCATAACAGGAATAAATAGGTGGAACTGTTATCAGTATGATATCAATGTGTTTTCTTATCACTGATATTATTCAGCTCCAGTAATAGTTATTAACTGTCGCTATGAAAATATGTGCAAGTCATGGTCATTGTTGTTGTTCATAAACCTTTTCTGGGCAAATATGCAGTGGTATTATTTTAATATTGTATTTCTACCCACACCACTGCAAATTTTGTATCCATAGCAGAGGACAAAAAAAACATCAAAAAATCCTGCATATCCCAAGGACATACATGTTTAAATGGAACATATACAGTACATGCAATATCAATTTTATACTTCATTAATATGCCTAATCAAAGACCTTCCGGCTCGACGTGCAGGAGTAGGAATGGGGTGGTTTTCAGCCACTAAGAGTCTGACATTCCCTTTCGCCTCACCCAGGCGGGAGCAGTAATTCGATGATTTGCCCCCTTAAAAAAAAATTGATGTTGTAAAACAACGGCAATCACATTGTAAATGTAGCTATATCTTTTTTTTACCGCATCTATGAATTTGAAAAAGAAACGATACTTTAAATGTTGTTTTGTTAAAAAAATATAGGAATGACACAGTTTTTTAGGTATTTCCTCAAAATATTATGGTGTAACATTGAGTTTCTAAATATAGTATGATGTCACATTAATTTGATAAACCAATTAATACTTATCTATTACGTAACTTACGGTCTACATAAGAAGTGTTTTTCTTAACTAGGCATCACTCTTACTTAGTGGACCACTTAGACCATTATAAATACACAGAAACAGCAAAAAAGCGCTTTTTGAACATAAGCACTAACACAATAGTCTAAATACCTAGCGTATGGTATCTATGCAAACTAAAACTTTATGCTCTGATTTTATAATCTGCAGTTTTATGATTAAGCTTTATTACTATTATTAGATTGTACAGGCAATCTTTTTTTAAATCTAAATTACATTATTTACATCTCTAAATGAATATCAAAAATAATAATTATGTGAGGGTGGGGCAGGGCTTTCTAAAGAAAAGATTAATTATTTGTTTGTTTAGAATACCGACGACGAGTTGGCGGCTTTCCGCCAACAATGGCAGCGAGAGTTGGAAGCCAATGCAGCCAATGCTACCCCGAAAAGGTCCACGCCGCCGAAACAGAAGCAGTTCCCTGAACCTACCTCTGACGAAGAAAAGGTACTTAGATTTTATATGGTATTAGACACAAACGAGCAGACGGATCACCTGCTGGCAAGCGATAAGTCCCACCCATGGAACATCAGAGGTCAAAGTCAAAGCATTCATTTCAATTAAACTACTACTACAGCTACTTCTGAAACATCGACAAATATAAAATAAACAATACATTATTGTTTGTAAAAATAAATATATGTATATTAAAAAAACAACATAGAGCCGAATTGATAACCTCCTCCTTTTTGGAAAATCGGTTAAAAATAAATAATATATTAATAATCATTTATTTCAGACCATGTCAATATTCTTGTTAGTAACATTTAACTTAAAAAAATCAAATGTATTGACAGGGCACCGTTAAAATATTTATAGTTTTAAACAATTCACTCAGCGATTCGCAACGGCGCAAGTTATATGTAGCTCGGATAGCCCGCTTTTGTAGAATAAACATTGATTCTATTTTATGTCGTAAAATTATTTGCACGTTGGCCTATTTTAAAAATTAATGATTTATCAAAAGCACCATTCTTGGTTCATTCATGAATGTAAATGGCAAATCATTCATATAGACTATAAAAAGTGAAAGGGACCTAATATTGAACCTTGAGGAACGCCCATATTCTTCCCAGATCCCTGTGAGTTAATACCGTTAAAATGAACCTTTAACTGACGAAGCGCGGTGTTTCTAATCCCGTAGTGATCTAATTTCAGCAAAAGCGTGTCGTGGCCAACGCAATCAAACGAGGAGTTGCACATAATCGCATTGTACCTTATAGAAGACCTTTTCATAGATAGGTAGGTAGATTAAGCAGGTAGGTAGATGAACTATATATTGAAGAAAAGCAACAAAAAATAAAAGTATACGAAAATCCCAGTAGAAGTATATTTTTAATGTCCAGTAAAATACGGGATAAATAACTGTTGCATTTTTGTTCCACATTAAAATATTAACCCTCACACCATGTAGGCGAAGCAGCTGTTCTTGAGTGGCATAGAGATGGAGCAGCGTGGCAGGCTGTATGAGGCGATCCAGCATTACAAGTACTCCCTGCAGATACTACCTGACGTTGAGAAGCGCCTGCATAACGAACTACAGGCCGCAATTCCTGAAGGTAAACGATACAAGTCTCCATTCTGTTATGTAACCTTAGAAGTTTGAGGAGAGTGTCTAGGTGTAGGTGTAGCCATATCTCACTAACATCTAACACATAATTATGCGAGGCATATATACATTTTTGTGGGTATGCAGGAGTGGGATTATTTATATTAAAATTTTCGTGAGACATACTAATTAATTATTGTGTTTCCTGCTTACTCACGTAACTATTTGACGAGGAACTCGACTTGTTTCAAGCCATGCTAGAGGCTCATATTCATGAGTCTCGTCGTGGGTGCCGGAATGCTGTTCTTGAATATGAGCGGACAAAAAGATCTCCGAAATATCCTCATTGTAATGCAAAGGCAAAAGTATCCTTTACCACAAAAAACAGCCGAATTCATAGACAAACGAAAAACGCTTCTTGTTCAAACAAGCATTAATTACTTAATTTTTTGTACAGAGGAGGTGATAGAAACAGAAGTAATAAGGCCAAAAGTGGCATACCCTGAAGATGATGAGGAGGAAATCGAAGGGGAGGACTTGCTGAGCAAGTTGAGAAGGATCCTCGCTTCCAAGGGAGCACTGTGTGAACCTGAACTCGAGACTACGGTGAGTCTTAGATGACCATTAAGCTGTTGCCTCGCAACATAACGTTGATCAACAAAATGTTGCTCAACATTTTGAAAATTGAAAGTCAGTGTACAACTTTTAAGCAAAGTGGTCTGTCTGTCTACTCATGATTTCGCTCGCAACATTAACTCGTCGAGTACCGGTTTTGTAGACACAATTATAGAACAATAGGTTGCGGTCACCGGTGACCGCTTGGTGTTTGACAGTTTAATCATCAAAGGAAACAAACGGTAGTGCGTCACGTGCGTCTTCACTCGGCGACGTTTGGTGCTCAAATGTATGTTGGACAGAAACAAACAACATGTTGCGCGTCATGTTGCGCACTAGCTTATAAAGTTGTGCGATATTGTGCGTGAGAACGATTTGGAAATTAAAGTGCAGAAGAAAATTAACAAACAATGCCCCTCTATGTAGTTATAGAAACTTTAATTAAGATCATTAACATAGCAATAATAATAAATAAACATTTTATTCCATAAGTGATCTACTTTTTTTCTCATAGTATTCTATTTTTCTTCTCAATAACTCTTCTTCGAGGTCTAAGTTTCTGGATTTTCGTTTTTCATTTTCCATCTGTATGTCATGCAGCTCCTTTCTGCATTTCGTTTCGAGTGTTGATATACTTGCGGCGCACATAGTAGGTGTCTGAGAAAATTAAATAAAAGACTGACTGCCTCATTGGCCGAGTGGTCACACTGCGACTGTCGGGCAAAGTATTACTGGGTTTT